CTCACCCTCTGGGGGGAAAATACTAGACGCGCTGGACTCTGAGTCATCCACTGTGGCCGTATGTCTCTGATTTAGCAGACTGTGCGGTGCAGAATAAATCAAAATGTTCTAGGGCCTCCCAGAAACCAGAACTCACTTTCTGTATTATATATTTTTTCAGTACAAGGGTTTTAGAAATGACGTAAGTCGATTAAAAACGCTAGAAACTTTAAAAATTTATTCAGTGGGTGGCAGCAATTGGTAGCTTAAGTGGTGGTGGTAGTAGTAGTCATGCTGTTGATGGGAGGACTTGTCGGAAGTTTGAGGTGCCTGTGGTTTAAGTCCGACCTGGGACGGAATGTTGTCGGTGGCGTGAGTTCGTATTGGTTTGGTATTCATAACCAAGTAACGTTAACCGAGGTTTCCATTGCGGTCAAATAACCGTGCTAAAGTGCTTATTGCTTTGGCGTTGCCGAGCTCCTGTACCTGGAGAGCCTTCATCAAAACTAAAATGGTGTTCACAACATGGCACAGAGTTAATTCCATGTTCGTCGGTATTACTTACTCTCTACACGCTCCATATTTTTTGGGCACTATTATACTAGTTGACTTTGGTGAATAATTGCAAAAAAACGAAATGCCTCTTACAGGGCTATCCAACCTCTAATACATCCTTGTAAGAACGTTGGTAGTAGCTACTTACCAGACAGCTTCGCTTTCACGGGAATGGGTGCACACTGACTCTTTTGGTAAACTACCTGGTCCTCTAGTGATAGGAGTTACGACCGAATAGGCAGATGACAATTCAATCATCGTGGACAATTATGTTCACCGTGTGTCTCCGGCACTGGTGTGCGCAAGGACTTTGACTTGTGTGTGAATTTGTTTACAGTGATGTTAGACTTGCATCGCATCTACCACACTCTTTCCTACTCCCTGTCCTGGGCATAGGGACATGAGGGAGTTAATAAGACTGGAGGCGGAACCTAGAGAAAGTGGCTGACACGGTGGGAAAACGCGCCTAGGCGTGCCCCCACGTCCATCGTACGCGCACAAAAGACCAGGATTTCAAATAACAAGAAAGGGGACCGCGGGTCGGATTCCAGTGGGTGTAAGGGCCATAGAAGTTAAGTTAAAAAGGAGTCATTTCGGGTCGAGTTGCCTCATTGTGTTGAAACCTTCCAAATCACGAGGCAGTATACCATAAGGAACCGTAAAACGTTCAAGGAAGCAATATTATGGGTAGACGCAGAGAGCAAATGTTTTGGTTTATTCGTGCCTTCCTCAGCCAGCTACATCCCTGGCCAACAATTAGCAGCCTAGATAAACTGATGTCCCTTTACATGGACACGCCGAATAAATTAAGAAATCTCCATGCCCATGAGCCCGCCTTTGATGGTGTAGATGTGTACTTCTTCATAATGGGATAGGACCGCAGTGGTCTGATGAGCGTCTTCTCCCGATCTAGCTATCTCCACCCCCAAGTACCCTCCCCCTCCACTTCGGTAGGCATCATCTCAGTCAGCCGAGTTAATCCTACATGTTTTTTGCCCTGAAAAGGGCAGAAGCCTTCACTCAATGGAATGTCAGCACCTCGCCGACTCCCAACGTATACAATATAAGCTTGCCGATAGAAGTAAAGGCAGGAGAAAATTCATGAGAAGAAGAAGATGCGATCACTGGCACATGGAGACAATTAACCTCAGATTTCGTATTCTCACTCAAACCCATCTGCGACTGTATCTGGTGAGAGGTTCGAGCGAAAATCCGAAACTTCAGGCCAGTACACTTCATGCTCCAGACTATAAGCTAATTCATTAGCCAGTGAAGTAGCTG